TGACTCTGATTCGGATGACAAGAAGAAAGCTCCTGCTAAGCCAGTTCAGAAGTCGCCAGTAAAGCCAGTCGCACAGAAGAAGGCTGCTAGCTCCAGCTCTGATTCTGACTCTGATTCTGATGATGACAAGAAGAAGAAGACTCCTGCTAAGCCAGTTCAAAAATCACCAGTTAAGCCAGTCACTCCAGCTCAAAAGAAGGCTGCCAGCTCCAGCTCTGATTCTGACTCTGATTCGGATGACAAGAAGAAAGCTCCTGCTAAGCNAGCTCCAGCTCTGATTCTGACTCTGATTCGGATGACAAGAAGAAAGCTCCTGCTAAGCCAGTTCAGAAGTCGCCAGTAAAGCCAGTCGCACAGAAAAAGGCTGCTAGCTCCAGCTCTGATTCTGACTCTGACTCGGATGACAAGAAGAAGGCTCCTGCTAAGCCTGTACAAAAATCACCAGTAAAGCCAGTTGCTCAAAAGAAGGCTGCTAGCTCCAGCTCTGATTCTGACTCTGATTCGGATGACAAGAAGAAAGCTCCTGCTAAGCCAGTTCAGAAGTCGCCAGTAAAGCCAGTCGCACAGAAGAAGGCTGCTAGCTCCAGCTCTGATTCTGACTCTGATTCGGATGACAAGAAGAAAGCTCCTGCTAAGCCAGTTCAGAAGTCGCCAGTAAAGCCAGTCGCACAGAAGAAGGCTGCTAGCTCCAGCTCTGATTCTGACTCTGATTCGGATGACAAGAAGAAAGCTCCTGCTAAGCCAGTTCAGAAGTCGCCAGTAAAGCCAGTCGCACAGAAGAAGGCTGCTAGCTCCAGCTCTGATTCTGACTCTGATTCGGATGACAAGAAGAAAGCTCCTGCTAAGCCAGTTCAGAAGTCGCCAGTAAAGCCAGTCGCACAGAAGAAGGCTGCTAGCTCAAGCTCCGATTCTGACTCAGATGATGACAAAACCAAGAAGGTTTTTCAATTATATTGTAACCGCTCATAGCTTTTTTCTAGACTCCTGCTGCGAAGGCCCCAGTAAAGCCAGCCACTCCAGCTCAAAAAAAGGCTGCTAGCTCAAGCTCCGATTCTGACTCAGATGACGACAAGACCAAGAAGGTTTTTCAATTATATTGTAATCGCTCATAGATTTTTTCCAGACTCCTGCTGCTAAGGCCCCAGTAAAACCAGCCACTCCAGCTCAAAAGAAGGCTGCTAGCTCCAGCTCTGATTCGGACTCTGATGATGACAAGAAGAAGAAGACTTCTGCTAAGCCAGTACAAAAGACACCAGTAAAGCCAGTTGCTCAGAAAAAGGCTGAAAGCTCCAGCTCTGATTCTGACTCTGATGATGACAAGGCCAAGAAGGTTTTTGAGTTCTATTTTTATCTGTCATAGCTTGTTTTAAGACCCCTGCTGCTAAAGCCCCAGTGAAGCCAGCCACTCCAGCTCAAAAGAAGGCTGCTAGCTCCAGCTCTGATTCGGATTCTGATGATGACAAGAAGAAGAAGACTCCTGCTAAGCCAGTACAAAAGACCCCAGTCAAGCCAGTCACTCCAGCTCAAAAGAAGGCTGCCAGCTCCAGCTCTGATTCTGACTCAGATGACGACAAGGCCAAGAAGGTTTTTGAATTATATATTGTAATAGCTTATAACTTTTTTCTAGACTCCTGCTGCTAAGGCCCCAGTTAAGCCAGTCACTCCAGCTCAAAAGAAGGCTGCTAGCTCCAGCTCTGACTCGGATTCTGATGATGACAAGAAGAAGAAGACTCCTGCTAAGCCAGTACAAAAGACACCAGTCAAGCCAGCAGCTCAGAAGAAAGCTGAAAGCTCAAGCTCAGATTCTGACTCTGATGATGACAAGGCCAAGAAGGTGAGATGAGCTCTGATACTCTTATTAATTTCTTGATAGACTCCTGCTGCTAAGACCCCAGTAAAGCCAGCCACTCCAGCTCAAAAGAAGGCTGCTAGCTCCAGCTCCGATTCATCTGATTCTGACAATGACGAGAAAAAAAAAGTTTGTTTACGTTACAAAGAATATATTCTATTTTTTGATTTCTAGGCTCCAGTAGCCAAGACACCTGTAAAGGCTACTCCCAAGTCCGCTCAGAAAAAAGCTGAAAGCTCCAGCGATTCTAGCTCAGACTCGGAAAACGAAAAAGCCAAGCCTCAAAGCAAAACACCTAAGGCTACTCCTGCTAAGAAGAGTGCCGCTTCCAGCTCATCAGATTCTGATTCTGATAATGAGAATTCTGCTAAGAAGCCCAGCGGTAAAACTCCATCCAAAGAGAATGTAAGTCTTTCTCCAATAACTCGATTTCAAACAAGTTATCATGTTCTAGGATACATCCGCTTCTGAATCAAGTAAAGAAAACAAGAAAGGCACTATGTCAGCCGAGCGTAATGTAAGTTATCTTTCCTTGCGCGTTTAATTTTTCTGAAATTTAGCGACGAAATGAGCCCTTCAAAAGAGTAACGATTTCGCTTAACGATGTACCAGAGAAATTCAGAAATAACTCATTCGATGGAGTAAGTGTCTTTCGATTTGATCTAATTTGATCTATTTCTTTAAGAATCACGATAAGTGGGGTGCTAAGGCTCATGAATCTTTGAGCAAAGTGCAAGGAAAGGGGTTCAGACACGAGAAAACCAAGAAGAAGAAGGTAGAGTGTTGAACCTTATGATCTCTCACTCAACTCATGTATCTTCTAGGGAAGTTACGGCGGCGGACCTATCTCCATGGAGGTTAATTCAATTAAGTTCTCTGATAGCGAATAAGTTTTTAATAACACGTTTCAATTGTTTTGTTTGAACTGTCCAAATTATTGTTGAATTTCAATTGTTGTTCCTGATAGAATTGTTAATTTGTTGATGTGTGATGGTTTCTTTATTACATTTTTACTTTTATTTTCGTTGTCATAATGCTCATTCGGTTAGTTCCGACGTTATCTTTTCTACCTTCTATGGTTCAGTCATCTCTATTTCATATAGCTTTTAGAATGGGAAAAAGAACACACGATGACTCTGTTGCCGACGTCTCCATGAATGAGACCATTGACGGACCATCCGTTGAGAAGGATGAGTACGATCAACTCTGCACTTTGGTAGCCATAACAAGCTCATACAGGCTTAATTCGTGAATCTTTAAGGTCAATTCAATTGCTCAACCCTTAGCCAATAGAAAAGTTGCCAAGAAAGTTTATAAGTTGGTCAAGAAAGCTTCCGGTGAAACTCATCATTTACGTCAAGGATTGAGAGATGTACAGAAGGCTATTAGAAAGAATGAGAAAGGAATCCTTATTTTGGCTGGTAAGTACACACTCTTCCTTCAACTGAACTCCTTTCTTCTTCAGGTAACGTAACTCCTATTGATGTATACTCCCATTTGGCTGCTATTTGTGAAGAGAAAGACATTCCATACGTCTATACCCCATCTCGTGAACATTTGGGTTTGGCTGCAGGTCATCGTAGGCCCGCCATTCTTCTTTATGTTAAACCAAATGCTGATTATCAAGAATTGTACGATGATGTCGCTGAAACCGTTGGAAAATTAGTTGTTGATTGATTTAGTAGTTGTTGTTTTTGGTTCGTTGTTAAATCACAAATGTTTGTTGGTTCATGTGTTGTTGACTGACTTGGAAATCGCTGACCGTAGAAGTGACGTGACTTCCATTTCTTTTTAATATTGTTACGTTGGAGATGAGCAATTCTATGCACATTTTTTGTATATTTACTTCGACAAATATCGAATAAAGATAAGGTTGGAAATTGTCGCTCTTCAATCCTCCATCATCCTCATCCACAGAGTTTTTCATCCGCAAACTGCTATTCCAGCGCTTCAATGTAGTTGTTCAACTGAATCAGCAACAGATTGTCCGAGCTCTGCCATTCTGATCAACTTGACTGATCAGAAAAACTTGAATGCTTTGCATGACAACTTTTCGTACTCTTTTTGATGAAATGAAGAAACTAACTTTGTTGTCACTCCGTCTCGACAGTTCTATAAGTTACTTTACTTTGAATGCTTCTCGTTCTAACACTATCCAATGAGTGAAGTTAAATTGTTTCCAAGTGTAAGTGTGCTTCGGTTTATTCATCTGATTGTCGAACTCTGTAAATTGAATTACAACCAATGATTGTTGATTCTTTTGAAGCCTTATCAGTTCAGTTATTAATCAAATTAATGAATCCGTTAATTTGTCGAATAGGCGGAGTCTGCGCGCTAACTACATTGGATACGGTAAAGGGTTCTGGCGAGGTGACCTCATGAGTATATATATAATGCACACCATTCATAATATCGTCAATTCGCAAAGCCGAAGCAGCAATCATGTCTGGACGTGGTAAAGGAGGAAAAGGACTTGGAAAGGGAGGAGCTAAGCGCCATCGCAAAGTTCTTCGTGATAACATCCAAGGTATCACCAAGCCTGCTATCCGTCGTCTTGCTCGTCGTGGTGGAGTTAAGCGTATCTCTGGACTCATTTATGAGGAGACTCGTGGAGTTCTTAAGGTCTTCCTTGAGAATGTCATCCGTGATGCCGTAACTTACTGTGAGCACGCCAAGAGAAAGACTGTCACTGCTATGGATGTCGTCTATGCTCTTAAGCGTCAAGGCAGAACCCTTTATGGATTCGGAGGATAAGTTGCATCTCCTTGTGATTATCATTAACCCAACGGCCCTCATTAGGGCCACATTCATAATTTGCTTGTGCCTAACACTGTTTGATTGACAAACTGAATATACAGTTATTGTTTCTAATATAAATAATTTATTTCAAAAGTGCTTTATATTTCGATCAGATGATAGAGATGTCGCCTTGGCATCTGATGGTGGCATAGTTGAACTCATCTGAGCTCTTCTTAGCTCCTAAGATGAATT